ACATAGGAATAAGATTTTATTTTTAATTGATAATAATGAAATTCCTCTATAATTATTGACGCCTGTTCTATTTTCTTTTTTATGTAATGGATGATTTAATGCAGTTTTCCATTCGTCGGGACTTTTTTTCTGATTGCTAAATATCTAGCATAACTTTAATGATTTCTTTTAAGGTGTTTGCTCCTGCTTCTTTAATTGTTTCTGCTACTATCCCATGTTCACCAAAGGCTGTGTTGTTTTTAAACCTCTTGGTAAGTTTGATGATTTCTGTTTCTGTTTCATCGGGTGGTGTAGAGTTTGGATTTGTTTCTACAGGTACTTGTGCGGGAAATATTTGTGATTGTTCTACACAGCTTAGGAGATTTTCAAAATATTTTGCAAGCACCTCACAACTATCTTCTTTGCTTAATGTCAAATCTCCATTTTCTTATTTAAAGCGTAGGTTCTCTGGTTGGTATTCTGCAAGTTTAGTTTTAAAAATTTTAGAAAAGTATTCGTATTGTTTCTTGTAAAATATTTTTCAACTTCTAGTAGTTGATCTTTTTCATATCTCCTTTTAATTTGTTTAGCAGTCTCTCTCCTGATTGTAAAAAAATGTCTTGTATTTTCCTTCTGTTTTAGCACTATTCCAAACGGTATATGCTTGGAGGCGTGTTTTGATTGCTTGTTGGCAATCCTCATTCCACCAAAGATTTTTTTTCTGTTTGTGCATAAGAATTAATTTGTGTATTATATTTGAAAACTTACTTTTGAGTTGTTGCCAGTCCTTTGATTCATTTTTTTTCAAATACCTCGGTAAATGAAGGTAATATTATGTTAATCCAATTTCGGGACTAGAGGTTTCTTTTTGATGAATCTTTTAGGTTTCAATTTAAGTTTTATTCTGGTCAAGTAGTGATCCGAAACTACGTTTGCACATTCCTTCACTTCGACATTCATAATTTCCCTATAGTTCGGAAAGGAGATTGCTACAGGTCGATTTGAAACTCACCAATATATAAATTCGGTGCTCTCTATGTCTTTTACTTGGAAGGTTCCTTTTTAAAATGTGTTAACATAATTTTGAGATTAAACATTCTGCAAAAATTTCCTAATTTTTGTCCGTTTTGATTAGTGCATTTGCCTACTGGTGCATTAAAATCACCTACGAGAATTTTCACATTGTGGCATTTTAACAGCTACTTCTTTTAATTCTTCCTAGGCTTCATTTACTTAAGGTGAATGTTCGATTTGCTCATTTTGATGTGAGTGTCATTAATCTATTGTTAACAGGGTTGACATTGGTTATGGAGCTCAATATCTTATTGCTTACTGCAAAAGCCATTCCTAAGTGTCGTGTGTTTTTAAGAATCCGTGTACATTTAAAGTTCAGAAAAAAAATTTTTTGGGCTGCATTTTCAGTGTGTTTGGTAGCGTACCAGTCCAGACTCCGCAGAATTTCAAAATCTGGTTATTCTGTTCAGGAGAGTTGTGGATTGGTTACCATCTAAGGTAATTATACAATTCATATCACACATATTCATATTTGGTTATCGGGTTGGACGAACCCAATTTGTTAGGACTGAAATGGTTGGTTTCAGAACGTTTTTCCTTTCGGTTTGAGAAACTGCCTTCATCCCGGCTGTTGACATGGTGATTATTATTATTACTAGCGGAACTCAGCGGACGTTTTTCTTGCCGCCATCTCTCTCTTTCTCCTTCCCTCTCTCACTCTCTCTCCGTCTCTCTCACTGTCGCTGTCAAGTCTCTCCGTGTCTCTTCGGTTCTCTCTCCGTCTCTCTCCCCGTCTCTCTCTGTCTCTCTCTATCTCTTTCCCTGTCTTTCTGTTTGTTTCTCTCTGCGCCAATGTCTACCTCTGGCACCCTCTGTCTTTCTCTGCACCTGTCTCTCCCAGGAGTTATTTCACATTCTCAGGGGCAGACACTCTTAATACTTCAAAGTACTGCGTGTTGCCTAAAGCGCCGTTGCGCAGAGAGGCTGAATAGGGGCGCTTGGGTCACTATAAAATCATTATCAACGAGTGTCTACGTGCGCAGGCATATGTACATTCCCATCGTACTATGCCTACAAGTGCAAGCAATAAGTTGACCCAATTTTTTCATAATCGGATGAATGGTACGGCAGCTCATTAAGTACGAACGGACCAGCAAATCACAATACACGAATAGAAATTTTTCTTGAAAAATTTATATTTATTTAAGAAAATGTCGTTTAAGGCTTCTTTAAATGATAATTTTGAAGATCATTTTTACAGAAAACTTTTTAGTTTATGAAAACTTCATTTGAACTGATTTGAAGTACTTCCACTCATAATTGCGTTAATAAATACAAATAGCTCTAAATGTGCATATGAACGGCGTGAGAACTGATCCGGTGGCCGAGAGCGCTAAGGCAGTAGTGCCAAGCGATCTCGGATCGAAGGATCGCGGGTTCGAGTTCCGCCTCGGGCATGGTTGTATTTGTGTTCGTCCTTTCACCCCTATCATCATCATATCGTGTCATCCTCACAGTTACCATACCGTTACAAGCAATAGTGGTCGCTAATGATGTAGAAGTTAATATGACCTTAAACAACAACAACAAAACGGTGTGAGAGATATTTTAAAAAATTAATTTAGAATTTTGTTAACAAAAGAATACAGCAAAATAACTTTTACGTCGTCTTAAAGGATGTACATAGCACAATGTCAACAAAAAGTTTAAAGAAAAAATTCGGAGCCGTTCTAGAAAGAATGGCGTTTGAGCGTTTCAAAAGATATGGAATTTTGAAATAATTTTCACAGAAAACGTTTTGCGTATTTGAGACGATATAGATCATCAAGCAATTGTGTTTTCAGATTCAATAATGTAGGCAAACCGTCCTTAATGTCAATATTAACGAAGAAAGAGAGAGAGAGAGGGAGAGAGAGAGAGAGAGAATTGTGTAACTTTAAAAAAATTAATGGACAGAGCAAAGTGATATTTATGTTACCTTATACAACATATTTAGCACTATCTCTACCAAACGTTTAAAGAAACTACTGGTACTCCAACAGCACATACTTTCTTGAATTATTTCTAAGTTTACAATTTTCGAAAATTCAAAGAGTTCAACGCAAAAGAGACCCTAGCCATTCTTTTAAGCATCCCTCCTTGAATCCGTGGAAAAAATGAAAAAAAAATTTGGGGGGGGGGGGTTTGCGAATTTTTTAATTGCCTATATTTCGCGCCAAACTTCTTGGGACTGAGAAATATTGCTTGAATGATTGGGAAAGCGTTTGTAGAAACAGCGATGAGAAGTTCTGTGCATCGCCTTTCTGTGTTCTCGTCAGACGAGAAGATCCTTAAAAGACGATAAACAATTGACAAGATTCACGTACACCTTGCAGTACGAATCATATTTTTGAGGAGATTGCCATGGTTTCCACTATCTGGACGAAAATAAACGTTCTCTTTACGTTATTCATGCTTTCTGCTGGTTTTGCCGCATTTCGAAGCGCTGGTTCGCGGATACTAAATGGTAATGCATGCTGCCAACGTACCAAACTAACTTTCAATGCTCTCAATATGCGTACTACTCAGTTTTTCTACACGACTGCTACGAAACTGCTCGTGGTCCCAGATTCTCAAACAATGCGATCTCGTCGCGTCTTATGTGGACAAAATTGGATCTCGGGAGATTACTACATTGTGCAAAGCTTCATCACCGCTAGGCCAGAATCTCGTGCGATCTACTGGTCACTTTTGGAAGCAGTTGAAGGTGTTTTTAAAAGAGTTTCAATTTCTTGCCGCTTGTGAGAGAGTTCGCGGGTTTTGGGCCAAATTAATACTACCTCGAACCACAGAGTAGAGATATCTCTCCTCTATGCCTCGAACTCGCGATGTTTGAAATGTGTCATCTTTACTTCTTAAATATCACAAAGAGTTGTCAAACTGAATGCGCAACAAGCATGGCGCCACATTTGAATTAATATGCCGCCTATATGCCAACACTTCTCATATTTTCGAAAAGTTGAACATGAAATGTTAGAAGATCTGTCTTTAAGGAACGTATTCAATTAAGGAGCAAAATCGCTATCTTCAACTTTTCAGTTGTAGGAAGATGCTCCCAAACAATTGTACTTTTGCAATTCTCAAAACATCTGATATAGCAACGAACATGAGCACTATTCTCTTGAAATCTCTCGCTCTGAATGAAGGCAAGTTTCATAAAAAAAGTGGTGCCATGTGTGGGAAAATTTTGAAGATGTTTCTGAAGCTTAATGTAAAGTATTCTTAAAAATCAAAATATTAGTTTGAACCTCCCGAAGGCTTGTGTACATTCAGATTTCTTTCGGAATATCAATTTTGAAGAGAATCCCCTGAATCATTTAGGCCCTAGCGTTGACCACAGAGGGACAGACAGGCGTTTTACCATCAATCGACTTTTTGGTATCAAAGACCCGCAAAACGTGGATTCTGGCTACACCATGTGTTAGACCATTTTATTCTATTGCATTGCGTAGTCATGTGTTATTGCATTTTTCTGTATTTAGAATCAGGACCTATCTATTTTCTGTTACCCTTGCTTCTGCCGAAATTTCGCCGTGTCCCGGCGCATGATTATATAAGTCTCTCTTTTAATGACGTACGTAAGGGTTAAAAAGGAAGGGGAAAAGAAAGGAGACGTCTTTAAGACATTTTTGTTAGTTTCTCGTTTACGAACGTATATACGGAGTACTAATACACGTAGTACAGAACATATTATGTCACGCTCCGGCAAAAAAAGGCGATTTATCGAGAGAAAACCCATATTGTAATGCCCTGATAGAGAAAAAGTGGATACATTGTGTTCTTTTATGTAGTAAAGTATCCCTTACACGTTATGTAGTCAGACTTCAAAAATTTTGGGTCCTAGACACCGCAAAAGTGTTGTTGTTTTTTAAGCATCCCTCTCTCCGTCCGCCTGTGAACAACACTAGTGCCTGAACTATTCATAGGGATTCGAGCGCTGCGATACAGTTAACTTCCACAAGCGGATGGCTCGCTACTGGAGTTTCCTCGGCCTGCTATGTGTGACGTCACGCGAGAGCGCCACGGTCTGTACAGTTGTCTAAGAATAAAAACTTTAAACCGATAGAATATCTGTACTCTATGTCGCCCCGCCCCCTCGCCAGCAAAGAGTGAAGAGCGCAAAGACAAAGCATATACAAAGTGAGTTCTCTGCGGATGTCTGAGGGGAAACACTAGATCCACTGCAGTTTCCCCCCACCACTCAGCCCAGCCTAACGGTGACGTCACGGCTGGGTGTTTGCTATTGGCCAGCCAAGACTAGCATCGACGTCACCCTTTGCCGAGCACGTGTCTCATGCGACCACAGTAGTTGCTTCAGTGAGTTGCTTGTCAGTTTAATTTGAGTTGCAACCACGCCGCTCGTGCGACTGTTTTTTCAGATGTTTTATCAAGCTGAAGGTGGGAATTCAAATCGAAAACATTTAAGTTATTCCTGGAACGCCCTTTTGAATGTAAGTAAACAAGACGCCCATGCTGAACCAAATAATTGGTCTTCCTTCCAATGTTTAAAGAACTTACTTACTATCAGTATACTCGTGAACGTAAGTATTATAAATAATATCAGAAACTATGAAACAGGCGTTGTTGGGTGTTTTGACATTAGACTCGGCATATCTATGAGTATTTCCTACCACGAGTGTAATTGCAGTATAATAGTAATAGTAATAGTAATAATAATAATAATAATAATATAATAATAATAATAATTAATAATAATAAAATTAATTTTATTTCCAAAAGAATTACATTGACAGTGTTAACAAAAACCATCACCATAAAAAAAATAAAAAAAAAAAATTAAAAAAATACCAATTTGGTTTGACTACTTTACATACATTATACCTCCGGTTTAACTTTCGGTATAAAAAAAAATAAATTCTGGTTCTTATCAGGTGTAAATTTTAATTAAATTTATTATATTGACATATTCGTGGTATCGTATAGTACGCACTTTTAAAACCGTCGATCATAAGTACTTTTATGTTACTTGTCAGAAGGGGTTGTGTTACATTATACGCTTGGTTTTGTTCTGTTTTTTTTCTTTTTGGTCATTTTTTGTATTACCGTTGTTGATATAGTTCCACTCATCAATCATTACGTTGACATGAATGTTTTTATTGGAAATTTTGATTTATCCTAGGATACTCAGCAGGCAGAAAGAAATCAAAATCATCCAATTATCTAGAATAAAAAATAAATTGTAAATAAATAAAAGATATGGTTAGTTGGCCAACTGTTAATAGGAAAACAAGTTATACTTAATAACCATTTTGAAATTTGCAGTGACAAATTAACAAGAAAAGCGAAATAAAGAAATTATTATCTAACTTAACAAAGCAGGGAAACCAAATAAGAACTTCTTGGCAAATGGCAGCTTGACATTAATTGAGTTTAAATTTGTCCCATTATAAATTCATTGGAAATTAAATAATTGGGACCTCAAAAACAAAAATTAGTCCATACATTAACGAAACTGAATGAGAGTAACAAAGCATTGTACAGTTTTTACAAATTATTATCGTTGTTGTTAACCGCTGTTTATAATATGAAGATTTTTAGTAATTAACAACATAAGATCTTATAAATGACAAACTCAACAGGCAAATCGAAAACAAAATGATCCACTTATTCTCGTAACCTAACAAATGGATTGTAAATAATTAAAACTACATGGCAGTTGGCATCAGGAAAAATGCAGTATTAAGAGTACTTAATTTAGCATGTTGGAAGAGTTATAGTGACAAATCAAAACAAAATAATAAAGGACACAACTCAACAAAGTGTGGTCCTATACAGAGATCAATTTAACAAATGACATAATTACTTGTTGACAAATTACAAAATAGTATGTAAAATATAAACAAAAACAAACAAACAACATAATGAAGCTGACTCCGAGTACAAAGATAATTATTTCAAATTATTCATCTTGTGATAACCGCAGAATACTAATGAGAAAATTTATTGTACGTAATTCACAACATAAAAATCTTGCATGACGAAACTTAAAACACGCAATAGAAATCACAATTCATCCAATTATTATCTAAACTACAAATAATTGTAAGCAAAAAAAAATCAATAACTAAATAAACACAAACAACTGAATGAGGTAACAGGGAACATTTACCATTTCTTACAAATTTTGAATCTTGTGGATGAAGGGTAGTTTACTGTAATCAGTGAGAGATTTAGTTGTACATAATTGACAGAATAAAATCTTATCAATGAACAGTATAGCAGTTTTAATAACTGGCATGCCGAGTTATGTTTTACTTAATTTCATCTTACAAAGCTTGTGATGAGTATCAAAAATATAAAAAAAATTCCTCCCGCCCTAAAATACCATATATTTTTTTAATTAAGAAATAAATTGTAAAATAAAACAAAATGGCAATGGGGCTACAAGCAAAAGAGAATAACTCCTGAGCTATCTATTTTTCATGTTAATGCTAGAATTATACTCTTGTGTTAACGCATCTTTTAATTTTTTTTTCAATTCCCTTTTAGATTTAACTTTCTAATATTTTCATCCGGCATTGAATTCAGCAGTTTTGGAATACTGTGTTAAAGCATCCTCTCGCCAAATTTATTAAAAGTGTCATGGAAGTATGAAATTGTGTTTTTTCTAGAGTTTCGTAGCTGTGCCCACTGATTTTTTCTGAATTTTCTTTGAAAAGTTTTTTGCAGGAATTTGAAATTCATAACAGTTTTTAACAGTCATGATTCCCAAAGCATTGCTCCAGCTTTACTTCCAGGGTAAAGGTTTTGTTCTGCTTATTTTTTCATTAAGGCTTTTAATGCTTTATTTTCAGATCTGAATAATATCAACAGTGATTTTGCTGCAGCTCCCATAAACTCCAATTTCCTTACCTGATCAGAGACTCAATGATGAGAAGTAAACCCAATTTGAAAATATTATAAGCCTACGAAATCTTAATTCTCATTAGTTTACCAAACACATGTTCTGATTTTCTGCTTAATTCCAAGATGTGGTCCGCTCCACTCAGATTTTTTGATCAAAAGTTACACCTAAATACCTTAGTTTGCGTTACAGAATTAATTATTCATTACATCGACAGTTTTAAAGTCTTTGTGTATGCAATCAACTTTGTGAAAGAATATTTTAACTTGTGCTCTTGCAATTTTTGGCTTAATAATGGCAGTATTCTGGTCTTTTCTTATTTATTATAAACCTTTATCATGGCACCATTTTTTAAATATTCAAATTTGTCCTGTAAACTCCATTTCTGCCTTGCTTTTGGTCTCTGTTTATAGATATAGCATCGTGGGTCAATCCGCCATACATATAATAGGAACCATTTCTAGTAATTTTTTTAAGGTCGTTCACATATTAGATAAAGTAGGGCTTAGGAAAAACTTTCCTTGCTGGAATTTCCCGCTTTTCAACAGTTTTATTTCACTTATAAGTGTTATCAATTTTTACCCTAAATGATCTTCCTTCTAGATAGTTTTAAAATAACTGTAAAACATGCCTCTAACCCCTACACTTTCCAGTAGCATCTAACATCTTTTCATGGCTTATTCATCGTAAGCTTTTGACAGCGATGCTCAATTGCCTATCACATGCAATCCCTTGTGTGATTTTTCATTTAATACTTCTCCTAGTTTTCCAAAGCGCCTATGGTGCTTTTTGTTTTTTTGATATTCAAATTGATTTTCTGCATCTATATTTGTATATTTTTCCAGATAGTGTCAGTCTTTTGCGATATGTATTTTTCAAATATTTTACTTATTGTTTTAATGTGGGAAAATGGGCCTATAGTTGTTCATAGATTGATCCTTTATTGTATTGGGTCTGATA